ATAACAAAATTGTCTAAGCATACTAAGTATGAGAAAGAAAAAACAACAGAAACAATTTTTCCTACCAAATGGCAAAAAGCTTGTGAAGGGCTGAATTACAAAAGCAACTCGAATGGTATGGTACTTCATACTTTTTGGCGGTAGTTTTCAACAGTCACCAATATTCAGAACAACACATTCAAGGTTGCAAAATTACGGTGATTCATAGTACCAAAAATTTTCTGATTTGGTGACAAATTTATTCATTATGATGATAACCATAAAATGCTGGATAGTAGACAACAATGGAAGAATGAAAGGAAATGTTTTGTTGTTTTAGATGAAATTAAAACTATTTTGTCATAAGAATTATCTTTAATTTATAGTTTATGGTGGGGCAAGTAAAAATTGAAGTAGGGCAAGTGAATTTTGACCATGCACTTGCCCGTGGGCAAGTGCTTGAAAAATCTGTTTGTCAGCCCCTGATTTTGAGAATTCACATCATTGTTAAAAATAAAAATAAGGAAAACACAACTAAAAATTCAAAGTATTTTTGATAAATCATTCATGTATACATGCATGTACACTATTTTCAAAGGTAGCAAAAATAATTTTTTTCTCTTTTTATTGTTTGTAAAAACAGGATCTGTGCTTTTCCTTAGTCACCCATGCTTATTTGTTTACATGTATTCAGGACAAACTCTGTTATGTCAGTCTGAACATGTGCGATGGGAAATTCCATGTCACTTCAATGCACACATAGTTCAGGTAGACAAGATTAGACCATAGCTGCAAGCAGCAATTTTGGGCTGCAGAGAATCTATAATTAGTAAATTAGAGGACTGATGTATTCAATTGTGACAAAGTCTCACTTATTACTGATATCATCTCCAATTTAATGCCACTATACATAATGGTAGGTGTTGAGGGGTGATAAAAAGGTTCGCAAACTATCTCTATATTTACAAAACCACAATTCAGTTCAGAATGTCATAAACATGTTCTATGCAATATATGAAGATAACGAACAGTATTCAGGCTCAAAAGTCCATCAAACAATACAAAATAGGAGCAGAGCATACACGGACCTCCAAACATCAGAGGTGGGATCAGGTGCCATGGAGGAGTGAGCATCCCCTGCTGACTGGTCACACCCGCCGTGTGCTCATTGTCATGATCAGGAAATAACGGAAAAATCCGTCGACAATTCAGTGTGTAAATAATGGCCTAACAATTTGTATGAAAAACGTCAGTCAGCATTTGACTCAACGATAAATTGTATTTGCTGACAAGGTCATTGTATCGACCATAGAACTTACAAAATGATGACTTTAAATGAGACTGCTGATATTCTTGTTTCATCAACTTGTTTGTCAATAACTTACCACGTTTTAGAAATTGTACATATGTAGAGCATGCTCTTGCGTATCGAATCAACTAAGAGATATAAACCCCGTATGCAGGTGATGAAGGCATATTGCTGCATAAGTGAGGGAAGTTGACGATTGAAAAGTTAAAGTCATCACGTTTATCATAAAGCTTGGTTGTTAGATTACCATTAACGTCTTTTTCAAGTAAAATATCCAAATATGAAACAGATGAGTCAGACTCTGTAAATAGCAGATGTTATGTTATGTTTTGGTCCATGTTTATGATGTCACAATGTGAAAATGACATCAATAGGTAGATGACTTGTGACAAAAAATGGGTGACTCAATCTTACTCGAGCATGTGACAGCTGTAAAGTTTAATGTATATCTTGGAAATTCCCTTGCAGTGGCATATAATAATTTGGACAGAGTTTATGAAGACAAAGGACTTGCAAGAAGTTCAATCATTAAAGGACTTATCGCATGATCTTTCAAAAATCGTAATTTTATGAAAAATATTATCTACAACCTTGTTTATTAAAATACTGAATAGAATAAACGTTGTTGAAAGCATATTTTAAGAGATATTAGGAGTTGAAATTCAAATATGGCAATATGCATATTTCAGTCGGATTTCGGCGAAATACTGCTCTGACGTCATAGGCGACAATTCAGTGATAGAGAGATGAGAATATGCACACTAATTACGGAGTTATCAACAACAAATGCAGCTTAATTACGAAAAATGCTGAAAAAATTAATGCCTAACGTGCTTCTCAATTACTATAGAAACATTAACTAGTTCTATGGTATAAGGCTTCTGAGAAATTTTCGTTTTTTATTCCAAACATTTAGAAACTGTAGCTTTGAATACGGCAATGTTTCGTGATCGGGAAATTATTTTTCAAGATCGCCATCCTTTAAAAAAACATATGAAGACTTGCATAAATTAATATTATGTTAAAAATAAAGAACAACAAAGTTATATAGTGTTAAATTTGTGAATCAAATAAGTAAATACGTGTGATAAGATGACAAATCAAATCGTATTCTGATGGCGAGTTTCTTCGTCTTCGCCGCGTCTCCCTCGCTATCGTCGATGCTATTTAAATACAATGTAAACAGATTTTTCTTGCTGCAATTCTAACATATAAGGTTGGATATTCAATTTCATATCGATAAAATAAGCGATTTGGTCATCCACAACGCAGAAAATTCAGGTTGTATCGCGTATATTTTCGTAAGATTAACGTGGAGCTGATCAGCCATTGTCGCCTTTGACGTCACAGGGTCACGTGATCGCTATCTAATTAACTTGGATTTTTAAATCAGGGGTTTTCATTTGAGTTAATAATTGATTAACTACCGCGATTTATCTGCAGTAAAAACACAAAATTTTAAACTGTGGTCATAAGGAACGTTTTATGCTTTTAATTTCAAATAATTTAGAAACATGCAATAAGTCCTTTAATTGGATTGATTGTTTTAGTGAAGGAGGAGAGATGGTTAAAAAAAATATGTTTGTTCTGGTGCCCATTTAAAGGATGTTGTGAAAGAGATGTGCCCTTAGTTGAGCAATCTGTTATGAAAGATCACCAAGTTACAGTTAGAAAAATAGTTGAATATCTTAACAATAAAATAATTATTAAATCCCTAAAATATCATTTACTTTAGATTTTTCTCATATCAGATATGATAAAGAGAACGTGCTTATACTTGATTCACATTTTAAAAAAACCCACGCATTTAAGATAGAGGAGTTGGATTGTGATGGTCACCATGCTTATTCTGGTGAATGATATCCTTACCCATCCATCCTATGCTGAGATTTGGCCATTTGTGACAAATGGACTATTCTTGTTATAAAAAAAAAACCCTGCATGGTAATAATTAAAAGACTCGGAATAATCTTTTACCTGCTGTGAACAGAACGCTAAAAGAGCATGTCACGTGACCACCTGGACCACGTGTTTCGCACATGGGCAGAAGGGTGGCAGATGTGCATTAAAACTGGAAGGGACCACTTTACAAAATAATACACACTAAAACCTTATATTTTTTCTTTTGTGGAAGTAATTCAACTAGTTTGCGAACTTTTTGATCACCCCTTGTAGAGAGACAGAAGGATTAAATCAAAATTTGCACCAATCTGTTTCTGTTTCCTCTTACTGCAAACTAGGTATTTGTTTAGACAACAGAGATGCTGGTAAATTTTTTAAAGAAAGATCTATTTTAAAGAAAGATATTTTTGTGATTTGACTACAGGCACACAATTGCTAAAAATAACTTTACTTAAAAATTTTCCAGATTTACGGTATCAACATTAGGATACCAAGAGGCTTAGAATCATCAGATTTGTTAGTTGACTCATTTGGTTCCGTGGATTGCGTTAACCAATAATTAGTCCTACTTTTGGAATTTCATGGCTATATCTAAATACTTCAGAAAATTGAAATTTTATGTCGATTTTTATATAACTCGAGAACTGATTGGATTTGAATCATCAAAACTTTGTCAATTGATGCATCTTGGGTCCTTGGAGAATGTCAACCAGAAAGTAGGTCACCGTGACCTACTTTTGAAATTTTATGGCTATATTTAAATATCTCAGGTCCTTATTGGCTAAGAATCATCAAGCTTTTTCAGTTGATGCATCTTGGGACTTCGAAGAGCATCAACTGAAAAGTAGGTCACTGTGACCTACTTTTGAAAATTTATGGCAATACAATTGAACTTCGGTATCTCAAACATTGATATCTCGAATACTATGGATATGTTGAAGTGATTTGAAAGTCCCAGCTGCTTATTCCTGAAGTATTTTACCCTTGACATCTCGAACCCTCGGATATCTCGAAGTATTTTCTCGGTCCCATCGGGTTCGAGATGAGGTTTGAATGTATTTAAATATTTCGGATACTAATTGGCTAAGAATCATCAATCTTTGTCAGTAGATGCATTCTGGGGCCTCAGAATGTGTCAACTAAAAAGTAGGTAACGGTGACCTACTTTTGGAATTGCAAGGCAACAGCTAAATATTTCAAATAATAAGAGTCTTAAAATAATCAAACTTTGTCAGTTGAGGCATATTTGGGTCTAGGAGTATGTTTACCAAAAAGTTTGGAATCTCATAATCTCATGGCAATATCTGAATATTTAAGATAATAAGGGGCTTCGAATCATCACACTTTGTCAGTTGATTCATTTTGGGTTCTCAGAGTGTTTTAACCAAAATGTAGGTCATGACGACCTACTTTTGGAATTTCAAGGCTTTATCTTAATATAAAGGATACTTAGATGTATCACATAGAAGTGATAGGTTGAACAATTTATCAGAAGAGCGATTCAAGGCCCTAGGGCCTCTTGTTTCTTGGAGTTATGCCTTTCAGCATATGAAAGACTATTGACATTGATATCTTAAATGACAGTGATTTTCATAAACAGCTGTGGCATTCTGTAAAGGGAAAAAAAGAAAGATTAGTTATTTGTTGTATTTAATGCATAGCATTGCCATTCATTATGTGTAGCACTGTCAAGCAATGTGGGAGCATGGGGTATGTAAACTTGCTCACTTTTTCTATCATTGTATTTTGTGCAGAGCTACAAAATAAAGGTCGTATTTCTGTATGATGTAAAATTAATTATTGCTTGCAGGATATAGAATAGGTAAAGGTGAGGGTTTTGCTGACTTGGAGTATGCCATGATGTGTGCGATGGGAGCTGTATCTCCTGACACCATCATTGTGACAACTGTCCATGACACTCAGGTTGTAGATATTCCAGAGTCACTGATGGAGGAGCATGATATACTGGTAGATTACATCATAACTGAAACCCAAGTCATCAGGTGTGACCGCACCAAACCTAAACCAAATGGTATCATCTGGTCTCAGCTTACTCCAGAAAAGGTGACTATTATCATGTTTGTTTCCTGTATTCCATGCATTATATGGGACTTAGCAGTACAAGTGTTCACATTTACCGTATAGCAGGAATTTTTAGCGGGGTGCTAACTTTTGCTTATTTTAGCGATTTTGAAGTAGATCGCTGAAATTTTAATCGCTAAATTTGCAAACTTGCGTATAAGTTCTGTCTAAAAGAAAAATTATAAACTTTGATTAGTCTGTTGTTATACAATATACCTTTCATCTGGTATTGATTTTTACTCAAACTGGTATTGATTTTTACTCAAACTCTTGCCTAAATCTGTATTTAAACATATATTAAATGTACTGAAAATTCATCTAATAGATGAATTTCCTTTCTTTTGCGACGTCATGGTACTCTGTGTCTGCCAAAAAATTAGTTCAGCCAAAATTATTGGCATACCTTTGAGCAAGCAAAATGCTTAATTTTACACCCGCTAAAGAAACCCGCTATACAGTATTATGTGAAGTTAAAAAATTTAATTGTGATTCATTTTGAGCTCACCTGAGCCAAAGGCTGACCTGAGTCCGTGATGTGTTGACTGTCATGTGTAAAATTTTCACATTTTTAGCTCACTTCAACAAAGACATTATTTAAGTTGAGATGAGCTTATGCTCTACCCCCGGCATCGGTGTTAGACTTGGCATCCCAATTAAAGTTTTAGGAGCAAGTCCATTCTGAAGTAATTATAAGCCCTTTATGCAACAAACTTGCATGGCTTATGCATCTAGGGATGGAGACTAACAGACTTGCTTCAGATGCCTAATCTGACCTACATTTTTCAGGTGAGTGACCAGGTTCAAATCTTGGGAGCAGGTCCATTCCCGAAAAACTTTTAAGCCCTACCTGGACCAAACTTGCATGGATGATGCATCAAGGGATGGACACTACCAAACTAGCTTCGAATGCAGGGTCTGACGCTTCATTTTAAGCTCTACTGGTCAGAAACCAGAAGAGTTTATGTGATAATAAGGGTGACACGAAATGCCGAAATGTCGGGTTTCTGCCAAAATGTAAGTAGAATGCGCCAAAATGACTGATGAAATACTGCAATGACTGTGGATATCAATTGATACGGATACTAATACCTCACAAACATAAACTTTTTAAGGTCAATCCTTATCCCTAAGGTTTTAGAGCCCATTTTATCGTAAATATTGGAGGAAATCAGCCGCCATTGACGGGCTTCATAGTATACCGTATACCACATCCGATTGTTTTTTTTTAAATCCGCTTTGTAGTATGTCAGTCTCGTATTACGTTTTTATTTAAATTGTAAATGATACATTATATACCTTATTTAAAAAGAAAAATCAATGAGGATGTTGATCATCAGGATATTAGAATATTAGCTAGGAAAAAAAACATAATTAAGTATTAAAACTAATAATAATAGAAAAATTTATAACATAAGTTTCTTATTAAAAAATTTTGACTTAATATTAGAAAAAAATTGTACTTTTGGATTATCAAATACTTTTAGATTATCAAATATTGGGATAGTAAGCCGTTTTAAATAGACTTTAAAAAGAAAAGTCTGATTACGTTGCCCAGCCACCCCAAATACATGTAAGAGCCATAATTTTGAATTTGAAAAATAAATATTTAAAAAAAAAAGAAAGAAAGAAAATGGAAAATTAACCTCTAAAGAAAAGCCAAACAAACATATTTTGGATATCATATGGTGAAAAATAAAAATAATGTTATTTTCCACTTAAACATTTAATTTTTTTTTAGAAATGAATGAGAAAAATAAAGAAAATTTGTAAAAATGAGTTGGAAAAGTTGGAATTAGAGCTTTAAAAAATATGGAAACTATAAAGGAATACATACACAAAGAACACCAAAACTTTGTAAAGCTAGGTTATTTGGTCAATAGCATTTTATTTTAGGAATGACTCTAATTCTTGGCCAAATTATTCGAGTATAACCTGGTTTGGGTCAGTTAACGCTTTATAATCCGCGAAGCTGATTATTAAACAGCGTAAACTGACCCAAACCAGGTTATACTCGAATAATTTGGCCAAGAATTAGAGTCATTCCTTATAATTTAATTTTAAAATCATTAAATAACTATGGGTGTAAAATTTCATTGCTTTTTATTAGTTCAAATTTGCCGCTCAATAATACAACCATAGTAACGGAAGTGATGGGAAGCGAGGGGAGGTAAAAACTGATACACAGGCCCAGCAGCCTTGTTGTTTATTTACAAGTGGTAAGATCGAATTATTGTTTGAAGTTAAAGGTAGATTTATTAAATATGGAATTTTCCATGAATCCCGAGAGCTGGAAATGAGAGGATCGTATGGATACATATGTGTCAGTTGGTTGTCAGGGGGGTGTGTCCCCATACCAAACCAGGTTATACAGAAATATTTTGTGTTCCTTTTTGGATATTAACCAATCAGAGGCTAGAATACAAACAAAATTAAATTATAAAAGATTGAACTAAACAATAGCACATAATATGTACATTAAAACTTAATTAAAACCAAAGAAAACCATAGGAATTACTAATAATACTAAGGATGAGATTGTATTTGGAGAACTGTTCTAATTGTGTCAAACACAGCGCCCTGCCAGGGCCCAGACTCAGTTCCCCAATACACAATCTTTTTCAAAGATACTTAGTATACATGTCTTATAAGGAAGTGAAAATAATTAATGAGAATTTAGGAATTAGTTTATTTACTAGATGTAGAAATACTGGAAGTTAAACAATGTAAGATCAGTGAATTGGAATTCAGATTCAAATTACTAGGTCAGGTGTATTACATGTATACAAATTATACCATGTGTGAACCAAACAGGTGTTTAAACAATAGAAGTGAATTGTACCACCAGGCCCAGGTGTCAGAAAGTGTATATATACACAAGATGCTTCCCTGTGCGTAATAGAAGATGCCTGACTTGTATCAGGTAAACTAATGATTTTTAATGAAAGGGGCACAACATATACAATAAAGGCAAATGGCAGAAGATATATAAGATTAAACTAAATTCAATATGTAAACATATGCATTTATATAGTTAAAAGCATTTTTAAGAAACCAAAACGTGAAACAGATGACATTTACTATATTACAGTGTTTCCCTTTGTTTTGTTAAATTAACATTCACATCAGTTGGGTAATACTAAAATACGCCTGTCGACGCCTGCCAGGGGAAAATACGCCTGCCGAGAAAATCTATAGGCCTGTCGTGTTATTTATCGAATTAATTTGTATTTTGTTAGATATATTACTTTTACAGGCCATGTAGTTGATATTTTACCAAACCAAAATAATAAGAAAAGCACAGTTTGGAGTTTTAATTCGTTTTAAATTTTGCCCAAAGAATATTGTTTTGACTAGTATGTTTAGTATGAAAATTTTCATTCAAGCCCCTCCCCCGGCAAATGTTTTTACCAAAAGAATGAGGAACCTCAGTCCCAACCCCAAAGCACACACATACACAAAAACACACACACAAACGAATATACGCCTCTTCTTCTTCAGATTAGTATTATAGAGATTGTTGTAATGGTTACACAATCTGTATCGTGAATCAATTTACATAAATCTTCATAAATGGTTTCCGAAACTTTCCTTGATTATGATTCATTTCTTTTTTTGGTGGGGGGGGGGGGGGTGAAGACAGAAATGAGAATCAGAAACGAAAGAAATTCAACATGTATTTACAATGTCACATCACGATCTCATACATGTAACTAGATGTTTAGACTAATTTGATTCAACCAAACTTTAACAGTTCAATTGCTACCAGCATGAAACATGAATAATTTATTGCACAAGTTGTGTCTAACAAATTAATGTACACACCATATGAGAGACACTTTTATTTTATTACTAAAGGTGATTTCCAAATTCTCAAAAAATTCATTAAGTACTTGATCCATCTGCATGAAGTTGATAAACATGCAATCTTGTTCAAATTAATATATATTGCATGTATGATATAACTGTAAATTGTCTCTATTTATTTGTTATGAGTTTTGACAATAATATTTTATACACTGTTTGTATAATGAGGAAAGGATAAAATAAAAACGTAATACGAGACTGACATACTACAAAGCGGCCCCCATATCGAAAATGAATACAAAAATAATACAAGAAAAAAATACTAAAATAATACAAAAAAAGTATATTTTTAATGACCAAATTTGGAACCCTAGATCTTGGTTCCAATTTAGGTCAAAAATAATAGACTTTTTAAAAGCCAAACACAGAAAAATATATTTTTAATATACTTTATTTTTTCGAAATAATACAGAAATGATACACATGACCTGTAAAAATGTATTGTTTTTGTACTTTTGTATTATTTCTCTATTTTCCTCTCCATTATTTCTCTATTTTCCTCTCCAAAGTATAAAAATAATGCAGTCCATAGAAAAGTATAGAAAAAATACAGAATGTATTAATTTTGTATTAGCATATATTATTTTTGTATTTTTTCACCTTTAAGAATTAAAATACAAAAAAAATATAGAATATATTAATTTTGTATCACATATATTATTTTTGTATTTTTTCATCTGGAACAATTAAAAGTACAAAAAAAGATATACAGTGGCGCCTCGTTATCCGGACGCCTCTGTCCCCAACGAAATCGTCCGGATAAATGAATCGTCCGGATAATTGGATCACATCTCAAAAAGCACTCTCTAAGCATGTATATATGCACATTTTTGTTTCAAATGTGACAGCAAAGAAAAAAAATTAAATTATATTTTGGTTAATTGTTTTAAAAGCAGTAATTGATTAATGAAAAAATATATTAAAATGTAATTTACACAATTAAAAAAAATGGATGGGTAATTTTATGCCGAGACCTCCTTTTTTAATTCACCTTCTCTTTGGCATGTGACTTCATGGGTTGAGCAAATTTTGATCTACTGTTGTTTAATTTTGCCATATATTATAATTATTGAAGCTCATATGATATGACAGAACTGTTCAGCATCATCATTGAAAAT